ATCCTCTCCTTCGCTGCGCAAAATAAATATAAAATGCTAAACTGGTCAGCTTTTCGTCCCTTTATTTTGTTGATTGCCTTCCTTGTTATAGTCTGCGTAGCTGACGATGCCCTTTAGTACCGGAACAGACGGTAACGGGCGCCAAATTCACTGGAAACTTCATAATACTAACGTACCTTGAGATAACGCACTAAGAAACACGGGAGATAACGAACGGGGAAGCAAGATGAAGCTCTAAGAGAGGTTTTTAAAAATCTATAGGGAAGACAAGCTAATGCTGGGAACTCATGGGGACACGTGGGGGGGGGGGGGGGGGGGGGGGTTCCCGTATGAAAAGGTCGGGGATGCTCATCGTCTGGCTCAGGGGTGTAAATCAAGGATTTTGGTCTCACTCAGGATGTTCAGGACGAAATGACACTATTTTTGCCCTCTTTTAGGGTTGCACTGGAAGAAATAATTAAAAAACCGTTGTCAGGGGTTCAAATAAAGCTCGAGCCACGCCCAGTGGGGATTTAATTTTGAGGACTTTAAAACGGAATCGTATAACAGACTCAAGATGGTAACTTTACACAAAGTAGTCGCTTAGTGAGGTTCGACTGTCCAATGCAATGCAGACATGCAATGTGCTTGTCCAAGATCACACCATTAAATGGTGTGATCTCTACAAATTCTTTGGGAGGAGAATCAACAACCAGACTCCCAAAACGGCTGGAAATCGAGCCTAAAATAATGTAGAAAGGCTGATTTATTGTGGCCGATATTTCGACTTAGAACATAATTCTCAAGGCCAGGGATTTCTAATATTTCTCTCATTACAGAACTTCGCGTAGATGTCTTGTAAAGAAGCGCATGTGGGTTTCAGTTGTTGTTGTTTTTTGTCACATTTAAGTGTATACGTGACTTTGTGCGAAATAGATTTCAGAAATGAATGGAGCGCGAAGGCTGTCATGGCTGAGGTGAGTACTTTAAAAGATTGCCAATTTGGAAATCAATAATTTTTGAATATATAACTTACTGATGTATATGTAAAAAAAAAATTGTTACGGGCTGTATAAAAGCTTTTCCATCAAGCATAGTGAAATCAATCTAATTCTCCAACCCTTCAACTGCCATAAAATCTCGCTCTTAGTCTTATACATCAGTGAAAACCAAAATTAGCAATAAATGACAGCGTTTCAATATTTCAAACATGTCGCTAGACATATATATATATATATGTATGCTCGCCATTTTGGTAAAGGGGCCAGGGGTAACATGAGTATTCGAACTTCCAGCTTCCCATATCCTTAACTCCCGGTTTCCTCCCATTCCTTATCGTTTCCCACCTCTTTTTGCCTTTTTCTCACTGCTCCTGCCATATTGGTATTCCTACTGGACCCTTTGTATTCGGCACCCTCCTAGACAAACCTACTTGAACTGGTCAAGCCTAAATTTTCTTTGTTTTGATTACCTAGCCCAGAGCTGAACATCGCAGAATTTTGCACCGTGTGACCGTTTGATGCAAAGGGCCCCTTCCCGCGGTCTCTTCTCCCACCTCCCGTAGAGTTCTCGACCCCTTCTCTTTAACCCCCTGTCCCTCTCCACAGCACATTTTGTTGCATGACCATTTCAAATTTACGCTTTTATGTTTGTATATATCCTATTATTGAGCATTCTATGTTAGGTAATAGCTTCAGGGCTCCTATTGATAGCAGAGTTACTTTGTAAGCTCCCTGAAGGGACTACCCTGAAAATTTACTTATAGATGTTTACTTTTAAACGAAGGTGCCTATCTAAAGGTGTCCATCGATCTATATGAAAAAGCCGCTTGGTCACGTAACAAAGCTTTGTATTACAGGACCTATTGGACTAGTCAGAGGTAAAACCCATCTGATTGTCCGTTTATCAGACCGACCTGCTGCTCACAGTATTTGTTCATGAATGTTACACGCTTACGTGGGAGCTACTGTTTGTCTCAATTTGATTATTTTGTAATATAGGTTGTTTGCACTTCTGTGAAAATTACGTTTGTTTCGCGGGAGGGAGGGAGGGAGGGAGGTAAGAAGAACCTTTTGCGGCATAATGACTAGTATGATAGCGACTGAGTCGATTTTAGAAGCACTGAAGCACAGTGTGTCACCCCTAGCCCTGGTAGAGGGCATACTGTATCGAGGCCAACCTCAAGTTCGCGCGTATGTAGGTTGTCGCATTTTTGACGTCATTATCTGCGTGCGTACCAAATGGCGCGAAAATTAAGGCAGCTTGTTTTTCCACTTCTGATTCAGTTAACGACGGTACGGCATCATTTTTCTTAGGTAATGAAACGCCAAAGTAGTCTTGTTGTTCCTCTATAAGCCAACAATTGAAACTAGTAAACTACATAGTGTAAAGGGATATAACGGAGCAACTATCAGCCAATGTCCTTCATAACGATTCACTTTGGAGGTAAGCTCGAAAATTTGTGAAATTCTCAGTTATCTTCAGTTCCTAAATTTACTACAGAATTTTCTTTTTACTTCCTAAGTAGATGACCAGAAGCTGCTTTTCAACCTTCTCTGTCCGAGTATCATATTGTATGAAAACATCAAACTTCGATGTGGTTGCGAGCAAGAAGGTGAATCCTGAATCAACTGCCATCAAAAATTATTAATCGCCACAAGTTTATAAAATTAAAATCGTTGCTAGTCTTGGAAGATGAGCGTTAATCAAAAGCTCACATATCACAGCACCTGCTTAGCCCCGTAGTTCAGAAAAGTTAAAGTTATCTTTAACATTTCTCTTGTCAGCTGTGGTGGACATCACAGATGAAAACGGCTCGCTGAAATGCATCCATGAACGACCACCGGATCAATTTGCGGCGGAATATCTTCAAGGAAGAGGCAATTATGTGCTTCTCAAAGTTTTGAGTAAGCTTAGCTTTTACAGTAATGTCTTAAACGATTCAGTACATTTGTTAATCCGTCCCCGCCGACGGTTCCATTTCCCGTTTATATTTTATGTGACCAGAATTGGGAAAATTCCACAAAATTCCAGAAAAAAAGGACAACCTCGCGAGCTAGTTCCCAAATCTTCGAAAAAAAAATGTACCGGGAGTTTTTGTTCCATTTGATTTTCAACCATGAATTTTCAGTTGAGTGGTTCGCATTTCGGAAAATATAATTTTCTGATTTTTCGGGAACTTTCCAAGGAAATTTCCGTATCATTTTTCTCCTGTTTCGAAAGCTCCGGGGTTTTTGGCTGAATGGAAAGTACCCAGTATTGAGATCTTTGATATGAAACAATTAGTTTCACAACAATTTCATAGTCAAGACTGAAAACGTTAACTCTATCATGAAATGAAATGCTACAAAAAAGCTTTCTTGGTACATGTACAACTTGATCAGAAACTAAGCCAAGTCACGCATTTAAATTCCTCATTATTGCTATCCACTCATTCCTTTCAGCCATATTTAGGGGTCTAACAACGTGTTTGGCTTCTCAAATTCATACTTCAAGTAGATGAAAGCGCCACTTTAAACCGGTTTTAAAGTGTTAAACGTCCTTATTGTAGAAAAGATGGACAGCGTAACAGGGACGGAATTCTCAACATTTGAGCCACTGCTGAACAACCTGCCAGAGCTATATCCTGATTTAATGTGTAAGTAACTTCGTCTTGCAAAATGGTCATATTTGTCATGTAAGGGGCCTGTAGGGGATTTGCCTATTTTTGTTAATGGGGAAAATAGGATCTGGGTCATTGGCACTGGGAATCACAAATAAAAATGTTGGAATGTAAATGAAATTTGGGCAAAAAATATACTAGGAAATGGGATTTGTACTCCCCCACTACCCCACTTTAGGGCCCTCTCTCCCACTAACTTTACATTTGGGGTTACCACTCCCTACAATGTTAAAACCAGCAAAATTAGTCTCAGAATTAACCGAAATTAGACTGAAAATAAATTACCTTGCGAATGAAACTACTGCTCAATAGCTTTCATTTCATAAACCTTTCTTTGGTAAAATCTGTTATATTCAAAGTAGATTAAATATAGGACAAGTTTATTACAGTGTTTGTCTAGGAGAGAAACATAATTTGATGTGAAATAATCACTGTAAGAGATAAACTGTCTGTAAACTCAAGATACGGAGCAATCTTACCTGAGAAGTGGTGATAAATTTGCAAGCACACAGTCACATTTTAGGTTTTCCACCCAAATCCAAAGCATCAAAGTTAAACATCTTAAAGTTACTTCCTTTACATAGACTGTTTGTATGACAACTTAATTCTCTGGAACTTCTCTATTTTTGTATATCTGCATTTAAAATAAAATAGTACTTTCATTCCTCAGCAAGAGTCCACAACAATAAAATCAACCCTGATGTTGGTCTCCCATTTCAAAGCTCTAATCAGATGCCTTCTCAAAGAAGCACACCACAATCAAGAACTAAGTCTAGAACAACAAAACCAAGGTCTCCAGCAAACAGGAGTTCTATCACTGGAAGTGCATTACCTATTGTGACCAAGATAAAGAGCTCCGTCAGAGTATCAAAGTAGACTAGCCAGCTCAGTTTTAGAAAAAGAGTGTTTTATTCAAACTAGACTAATACATGTAAATTATAGAATTTGTTTACAAAGGCAAGGTCACTACATGTATACTGCAAAAGATCATAAAAGTAATGTTTCAAAAGAAACTGAGCCTTTTTTCTGCATCTTAAAGCAGATTGTTTTTAAAGAATAGCTTTGATGTATTACCTTTAAACATATGTTCAACTTCTGTCAGCTTACTTTAAGTCTGTTCTTTCATGACACAAGACAACAACTTGAAGCTATCATAATGTTAAAAATCTTCAAATATGTGAGTTACTTGAGTGTCCAGACATACAAAAAAGGGTTTACTTCAACACAAATTTCAAAATAAATTAAAACCAAACATCTCAATGCTGAAAGACTATTGAAAATAGGCAAAGACAGTAATATTGTCTCTTAAGAAATGCTTTCTTTACCCATTCAAAGACGCAGTGACAAGAAGTTGTCAGTGTTAGTAAGGCCTATCTCTCCTTCCAATTCTTGGAGACTGAATAGCAACATCAATGAAATCTCCTATTTGAAACTTTTTGGATTCTAGAGTAATAGTATCATCTGTCCCCTTGCGTCCTGCTGCAGTTGAACCAATTTCTTTCATTATGAACCCACCACGACGAGCGTCTGGAAATACAATGGCAAAGTCAAACACTGTGCCTTTACGTCTTGCATCTGGGTTTACTTCCTTGACTAGACTCATGAGCTCTTTCAGTGTGGCATCCTTCCTACAATGAAACCAAATACAGAAATTGTCTCAGGGCACAGTTTGTGCAAAGCACAGGGTCACTTGACTCCATAAATATTTATGGTGAGGTCAATGGGCACATGTATGCATTGTTTGGCAAAATGAGCAAAACCATTTCGAGACTGAACTTGAGGGATCAGGGGAAATATACAGCTCAATCATTAAGCTACTTCTCTCTAATTCATAGTAATTCCCAGTGCTGATTAATACCTAACTTCCCTTAACAGATTCTCACAAATTCCAGTACATGACTTGTAGGAACGTTGTGAGAGTGTAAGACCTGGTCATATCTGGAAAGCTGTCTTAATGAACAACCAAATACACCGATTCCAGAAAAAAAAACCAGAAGTCGCACCAAAACGAGGCTTAATAGCCTTCACGGTAAATATTCAAAGCAACATGGTGAACGAAGAAGAAAGGCCAATCTCTGATGATATTCCCGGCGTCAGTGTGAGCGAAGAACAGATTGAAAAATTGACACTCAGCCAATTGAAATTCTGGCTTAAAAGTTGCCGTATAACTCAACGGGGCAAACTAAGGAACTTTTGGACGGGTAAGTTTTCCATTCTTTGAAGCGGTGTAAATATAATATTTTGCAATTATTGTACAGAGGTTTAAACCGAGACACAGAGGCACGGTGTCTGTGATGCCGTAGAGTATTTGTGCTTCAGAGAGCGTGATTACAGTATTGTTTTTTCTGTACCACCAATCAGTAAACTCTGTCCAAAACAGCTGGACGTTGGGGCAAGTTACG